CCACATTTTGTATTTTCCCGAGTGCACAGATTTTGACGCAAACGCTGAAAATCACAAGTATAATATGATATCACGTCTTGCGTTTTCCAGTCTCAAACGCAAACGCAGACGCAAACGCGACTCCAACAAACGCAGTGTGATAATCTGCTAAGTGATAATCTGCATTATTACTATAATGCTACACACGTGCACGCCCGCGCGCACGCACACACGCACACACACACCCACACATACACACACACACACACACACACACACACACACTGACATACACAAACAAAGACACCCACCCACACACACATACTATGGCTGCAGCTATGGAGTCCTGCAGCGTGAAATGCATTTGACCATGGTAGGGACTGGACAGTGTGGGTATGCCACGGATCCAGGTAACAAAACAGGTCATGTCTTTGGAGCATAGGTTTGTTGTGGTATAGTAAACGATGAACTGCAAATATGGAGTTGCTATCAACATCTGTGTCAGACCTGGGTTGAATGGAGCATAATTTCTCGCCGTAAACTCTGAGTGTTAGACTTGGATTGAATTGAGCATGATCACTCACTCTGAACTATACACACTGGGCAAAGCTGTGGAATGTCAAGTGACTTGCAGCTCACATAATGCTATTGTCTTTGTCGGTGGAGCATGAGACTCTCAATCTCATTGTCAGCTTCGAGCCCCACATTGGGCGCCAATTGTCGTCGGATTTTTTATGCAGACGCTAGGGGACGATAGGCTGTTTCAATATCTCTCTGTACGTCCCACGTATACAACACACAATAGTCGAGTTGTTCTTACTCATTGAGAGTCTCAGGAAGAAGGCGTAGAAGAAACACGAATGCGTACAATATGCGCATGTGTGCTGTGGCGCAACCTGCGCAGTCTGTGCGCGGTCCGTACACAGCCCGTGAGGACACAGCGCCACACAGATTAAATAGGCCAAAAGGGGAACTTGTAGAGGTCACGGATGGGGACCTCCATGGTCACGGACAACATGAAGACTATTCACAACAACCGGCATCAAATGGATCATCAGGGAAGCACAAGCAGGAAAAGAGCAGTGCACTTCTAATAATTGTAAATAGCGGACAGCAGAGAGCTTTCCCTCTACAGCAGACCCAGGTTCAATACAAGTAGCAAAATCTGGTGAGAAAGCTGAATACCGTAGAGCCGGCCATCACCAATGTATCATGTCTGCAACTCTGCATTCCTGATAGAACTAGTGGTGTTAGGTTGGTTTTCAAAGCAGACATGATCACGTGATACTTGTAGACACCAGTCCAAACAGTTGCCCAGTAACATTCCATTACAGCAGTAGTTACAGTAGCTATTCCTGACACGCTTCTTTCCTTTCATACATACATGTTACGTGTGAATTAGTCAAGTTACTTTCATGCACTCACCATACATGTTACATGTTACTTGTGTGAATTAGTCAAGTAATTAGTTACTTTCATGCACTCACCATGCACGCGCATACACAAACATACACACACATACACACATACATACACCCACACACACACATACACGCACACACACACACACACACACTCACGCACTCATAGACACCCTCACAACGGATCATACACATGTAAACACACACATGTAATCAACACACGAAGCACAGTTGCCATAATATGGATATTATAGTTCCGACTAGGCCATTCGTGCCATTACTTTTCAAGTCAAATACAATTAACAAGGTAGCAAGTACCGTAATGTTGTGTATAAAAGCATGACTCGAATAAAAGCCGATTTTTCGAACCGCGCCGTGACAGAGAAGCACGATTTGAATAGAAGCCGTGCTTCTATTCGAGACGAAAAAGTTGCAACAGAAACACCATACAACTGCAGGCCGCGTAGACAGGCTGCAGAGTACACGTGCAAGTACTGCACATGTACAGTACAAGTCATTTGTGACAGTGCAGTGCAGTGCATTTATAGTGCGCGCGCACTGCACTGTCGCAGTCTGTCGATTCGTGTCACGCACTGCAGTGCACTAGTGTAGACTGTAGTTCATTGGGCATGGGCCCCGTCAACTACATATACAGTCTACTCTAGTAGTAGTACACTACATAGCACTGTGCGTCTTTCCAACAAACCTGGACACATGCCAGAGCAGTAGACTATCCCCACTGCAGACCTACAGTGTACCATCATGGAAGACTTCTTGGTGGTCGCGGACATGATCGTGAGTGAAACACTGCATAGGGCAAGCAACACTTCATGCAACGTTGCAAAATGAAACCGCTGCGTAGTTTTTGTTGCAATACCGATTCTCCGTTCGGTCACAGTCATGGCTAGCCAGGGAGAATAAAATTGCTTCGACCCTAGCAGTCGATCCTCATTCTTCCTTCGAGGATTCACTGACAACAGCTGCAAAGATGCCAATGCCGACGACAGGAAAGAGAAAAAAACTACAGCCTTACTTTCAAGCTGGCTTTCATCAAGTCCGCAAAGGAAACGTCCTGCAGTGCTGCTAGTCACTTCCACAATGTGAATGAGAGCATGGTTCGTCGCTGGAAACAGAAGGAGGCCAGTCTAAAGGGAATAGAAAAATCCACAACCTGTCGTGGTCGTGCACGGGCACGCCTAGTCGGCGGTGGCAACACGTTGCTTTTGTGTGACCTTGAAGATGAGCTGTTCGGATGGATCGTCGCAGCGCGCCAGCAATGTCGACGAGTGACGCGGAAGTCGGTCCAGGCAATGGCTAAGCGTATTCACGACGAGCAAGAAGGACAGGAACCGAGCAAGGAGGACAGGAACCGTTCAATGTAAGTGCTGGAAGGTGTGGGCATTTCATGGAGCATCTTCAACTAATGACAAGAGTGAAGACGCACCAGAGCCATCGAACTCCTGCTGACCTGATCCCCAAGTTGACGAACTTCCTTGTGTTTGTCAGGAAATTGTTCGCCGACAACAACGATCTAAACCCTGCCAACATCTTTGCCATGGATGAAACTGCCGTTTGGTTTGATGCGACTAGCAACCGGACAGTCAACGGGATTGGCGCCAGGACAATCAGCATGGCCTCACAGGGAATGACAAACAAAATGTCACTGTGGCACTGATGGCATCTGTGTCTGGTGCAAAGCGGGGTAGATGACATGGTGCACATGACTGTAACGATGTACGTCACACTGCTAGCTATCCAACCGATTACAAATTATTACATGACAGGTATTTCTTGCAGACGTACACTAGGCTACAGACTACAGTATCTCATGCTTAGTTACTACATAATTATTGTACAATCATCTGTCATGGTACTTCTACACTACATCAATCACCTCATTTTAGTTCATCTCCATATGGCATGAATCGATTTTTCTGCGTTCCCGGTTCGGAAAGGAACATATGAAATGGGAGCCTCAGTTCCACATCTCGTGTGCTGGTGCATTGAGAAGCGCAGCAGCGCTTCCGCATGACGATGCAAGCCAAATCAAAACAACTCTAGCCAAAAAACTAGCTCAGCGTTCGTCAGGCAAAAAGCGAAAGTCTCAAACTCAAAGTCAAAAGGTCGGGAAGTGAGAGTCAGAAGGTCCACTAGCCCCATCTCGAACCCAGACAATCTTTGTGCAAGTCATCTATTGGACTTGCAGCGACTTGATCACTCCCACAGTTTCCTGTTGGAACAGGAATTACGCCGTCGCAAGAACGCTCTGCAAAAATCAACCCAGGCTCTGCAGGCCAGAGCTTGGCTTTTATTAGTCCATGGATGTGGCTGAAACTTCGCAGAAAAGTCTTCAAGTCAATCAATTCATGATTCGAATTCCGAGGGGATCATCCTCAAAACACTGTTGTACAATGTTGCAGAAAGCGCTTGACGATCCCAAGCTGTGGTTTTTAGTCCCGCTTGGGTAGTGCTGCATTCTGCAGATCACGGCACGCCTTTCTCAAGACGCATCGAGCGTGTCCTGAATCTGAACAAAAGTGTAGACATCGCGCAGAGTGGATCGTTTCATCTGCAGTGCACCGCTACACACCAACGGTCAGTGCAGCTGCTTTTGGAAACTGCTTCCCACCGTGTGGAGTCTACCGCCTGTGCATGCAGCAGCCTGGTGTTTCTTTCAAACCCAGGTGGAACATTTTTTGGGGAGGCGGGAGGGGCGTGGGGAGGGGGGGGGGGGAGAGGGTGTGCCCCCCCCCCCCCCCCACCCGACCTAAACCCGCCACTGCACCTCATATTTGGCAAACAGAGTATAATTATAGCACTTTAGAAGACAGCGCTAGTGGTGTCAACTAAATAGTTAAACAATGAATTTTACTAGTATCAAACAACAATGGGGACCACAGTACTACAATGTCAAAACAGTGAGAACTTTCGCACATGCTTCCATCGCACACACAGTTCAGGCTTCAGCTTTGGAATGTATACTGCCACCAGAACAGCAAGGTGAGATTTGTTGAGCACACACGCTTGAGTGGTAAAGTGACAAGGAGTGCCATGTTTGCAATGAGTGCCATGAGTATAATTTGAACTGGGTGCACAAAAGAAGTATGTGCAACATTTGTCACTGTTTTGACATTGTAGTACTGCGGTCCCTATTGTTGTTTGATACTAGTAAAACTATTTATTTCACTACGTGGTATGGTGCTACTAACGCTATCTCTTAAAGTGCTATTTGGTCAATGCTCTGACCGGTAAACATGTAGTTGGGGTCACAATCGCTATCTTTTAAAAGTGCTATTTTGTTAATGTTCTGACCGGCAAAGTGCTGGCTATAAGGACATGCTTTCTACCTTGTTTATCACCATTGTATTCGACTTGAAAAGTAATGGTATGAAAGGCCTAGTCTAAACTGAATGCCTTCTGTGACTCGTGTGCTGAATTGCTTTTCTCCAGCAAACAATCTATACACACACATAAAGGCATATAAACTCACCCGCGTAAACACACAAACGTACACAAACACACACACACACACATACACACACACACACACACATACACACATATTATGCCATGGACATCCTCCTAGAACAATAGCCTAACCTGGATCCGGTGATTGTCCTGATCCACAACCAGCAACCTGCCGTTGGACGAGATAATACCCCATGGGCAGTTGAACTGTCCTGGTCCACTTCCTGCAGTACCAAACTTGTTCAACTGCCTTCCTCCTTTCTCAAACACCTACATGTAGATCATGCAAATAGGCACAATCACACACACACACACACACACACACACACACACACACACACACACACACACACACACACACACACACACACCCCATACCCATACCCATACATACCCAGACACACGCATGCTCTCTCAAGCGTGCACGCACAGACACACACACACACACACACACACACACACACACACACACACACACACACACACACACACACACACACACACACACACACACACACAAACACACATACACACACACACACAGCCCATACACACACACACACACACACACACACACATACACACACACACACACACACACACACACACACGCAAGCACAAATACACATACATGCCAGTGGCGTAGGAAGTGGGGGGGGGGGGGGGCAAGGGGGGGGGGGGCGCGCCCGGTTACCCAAACCTTCTGGTGGATGTAGGGCCGAAACTCAGTGAACATGTTTGCATGTTCAAGCGAGAAGCATGCAGATCAATCAGTACGAGCGTTGTTTTCCGTGGGCGGTTTTCTTCGAAATGGGAAAGGCGGCAGTACTTTGCTACAGTCAGAGCCAGTTCTTCTCATTGCTATATCGCAGCTTTCTGGAGAAAACCACTTTCCAGAAGAGGTTTTCGAGACTTACTTCAAGACTTACTGTTACTTGTCGGAGAGCAAGGTACGACTGAACAGTGGTCATACATTTCAACATGTTCATGTAGAAACTGAGCCCGAGGCTTGCACCTATCATTCAATGACCTCTACACGATTATAATTTTCACCAGGGTCACATTAGTCATCTACACTATCGTGGAAAATGCGTTATGAACGGAACATGCTACTCCTAGTCGCAGGATTTTTATCACTGGCATGTGATGAGTCCGGGGTTCTTGTTTGTAATGGCTGAACATCGGGGGGGGGGTTCTTGAACGTAGACTTACCCCACTGTCCTTACCAGTACGTTTTGCTCTATGGTTGCCTCTAATTCACCATTACGGATGCATTTCGCCTTCAGATAATTTTCTCCTTGGACATTGACCAGGCTGTCAGTCAGAGCTACTTATCCAGTGGTCACTGCATGCAATCTCTTGTATTCAACATACATGCACAGCACATTCATTGTTCTTGTCCAGATTCGAGTACTAGTACTAGGTTTTCACATGTCCAGTGATGAAGAGTGAAATACTTGAACAATTACAACTTTCTGTAGAAGGATTACCGGTACAACCACACCAGTATATGAGCAGGTCAGTGGCTGGAAGTCCCCCCCCCCCCCCGCCAACTAAAACATCTTCCTACGCCACTGCATGCACACACATGTATACACTTCTCGCACTTGTTCACTTCTGAAAACTTGGGTCTCCTCGACGGAGGGCAGAGAATTTCAAAAGGAATCTTGGAAAGGTGATTCAAGTGGCTTGTGAACCGCCCAACACCTGAACCCCTCTGAAATGTTCAAACTCTGCGTGGATTTGACAATAATCTCACTTTTGGGCACATCACACGTTGATAAGTGGGTAGGCACAAGGTGCAGAAAGCAGATTGGCAGCATCAGGCATCGTCCTGGAATTCAACTGCATTTGTAGAGGCTTCAGCTGCCTCTTACTTCAACTAATACATGTGTGTGTTCTCAGACCACTGGTATTAAGACACACTCAACTTGGCAAGCACACCAGAATTTTTATGCATAGCAGTTATCTGGCACATATGAACACAAAGAAGGGATGAAAACGGGAAAGGAGGGAGAAAAGTGGCATTGTTCCTTATCTTTTACAAAAGGAGTCACGCCAAATATTGAAATAAATCAGGAAAGATTGAAAGGTTGAAGAATGTCGAGGAGATGACTAAGCGTGGCTGTGAGAAGGAACGGACTCGACACTACACCAAATTAATGGCAAGCGGCTGAATCGGTACACTACTATGTTGTCTTCGGAGACTGGTTGATGGACATTTCTGAGCCAAAGAAATCGGGTGACGTCTCAATCAGGCATCGTCAGCCCGACTTGCAAAATGCCTTCTCTACATCACTGGTTATGCCGATCGGTTTCAGATGGAATCTGACCAGAATTCCACACAGATCTGGTAGCAAGTTTGGCCCGCTTTCGCGGCAATCATTCAGGCTGTGGTTGTTGGGTTTCGTTTTGGCTGACGCATCATAAACAACTCGAATCTTCGTTGTCATGTTGTCAGGCTTCACTACGCAGTGGTGTGGAATGTTGTGTTTCAAGGCGTCAGCGTTCTTGGTCATGTTGACTGTCTCGATGGTGCCACTGTTGAGTTGTCGTTATATGGTGTCGTTGTATTTGTCGAGGATTTCTGGGGTCTTGGACAGACGGAACACAAGCGAGCGGAGCCGGCCAGTTGCCAGCTCGTAATTCTCTGGTAGAGATGTGTCAGTTGCACTATCTTTTCACAGCCATTGAACGCTATGCCGCCCATTGACAAACTTCATCATCTCATTGAACGACTTCAACACTGCGTCTTCAGGCTGCAGAGTGCTGGAGATGCTGGTAATACCGATTTCTCCAAGGGACCAGAACTTCTTCAAGTCGAAGTCGTCATGATTGTATACGTCCGCTGCAGTCAGCATCATGGTGTCGACTTGGGGTAGATCTGCAGACGTGGTAACCGGCCTGTCGGAACGAATCCAAGCTTGGTGTCCAGAAGAATTAGGCCATCCGAGAATCGGACATGGTCGTTTCCAATAAAAATAATAATATCTTTATTAGGATGACCCAGAGGCTTGTCGCCTATCAAGGGGTTCACCGCTTTGAAGGATGTACATGTACATGTACATGTATGAGCTAAAGTGAAAGTAGTGAAAAGTTGTGCAGCGTGAATGCGTTGGGGAGCACACGGGGGGGGGGGGGGGGTTATGTACAATGACATCGTAGAAGTAGTCACTACCAATGAGCATGTATATTGTCACGACTTCTGGTCGATCAGCAATGGGTTCTGCTAAGACCATTCGCTGCAGGCTGGGGTGTTTCCTCATACCGATTGGCAAGCGCCTCATCGTAGAACTGATGTTTGGGTGATGTTTGCTGTAATGGGGACGCTACCGCCATCGATGGTCTTCACTTGGATTTGGACTCGTTTCAAGACCTTGGTCTCCCTCTTCTTTGAACCAAACGGAGCGATCAACAGGGCATCTTCACCATTGACGTCGGCATTCAAGGTGTTCTGCGTCGCCTTGCTGATAAAGGACCGTGTAGAGCCGGTGTCGAAAAACAGTCGCACTCGGCAAGACCGCTTGCTGTCGTTATCTGTGAGGTCAGCTAAAGCCATCTGCATAAGCACGGCCGATTGGTCTGTGTCACTCACTGTGTGAATTTCCATTGGCTCAGGCTGTCAAATTTGCAATCAGCAAGTGTTGCTGTTTCGGACCGTGCGTTTGCAGATCTTGATTGAAATGGTTTCGCATTTCCATTCAGTGCGTTCATGCTTTTGCCTCCAAATTTCTCCGGGCACAAGGTTCTGTGGTGAGTGTCGCGTCCACAGTGATAGCATGGTCGAGGATTGTGGCAGTTTCGTGAGATGTGTCCCGACCGAAGACAGACAAAGCACCGGTTTTCTGTCTTTGCCTTCCTCTACTCTAGCATCACACACTTCGTACATTTGTCTGTAAAGTGGGTATCTTTGCAGTAAAAGCATCGGGGTGGTGGCCGCTGTGCTGTGTGTGATAGTAGAGCTTCTTCTGATGAATGTGTGTAGCTTGGCAAACCGCCAATACTGCGTGGGCTGTCTGTGACTAGCCTACTGTCGGCGTGTGCAGTGCATGTTTCCTTTACTTATATCGTAACAGAACTTTGCATAGTGCGTGGACAATCCAGGCACTGTTTCCGCGTATGATTTCCAAGTTGAAAATTACCTTTCTGGCAGCTTTCCCATGACAATGGACAAGAAAATTTTCTGGTTCATATCTTTGCCAACAGCCTCCAGTGATCGCAAATGCCTTTCGATCTGCGTGTGGAGTTTTCTTAGTGCGGTGGTGTTGTTTTCTGCCGATGGAATTTCCATTAGCGATTTGTAATGAGCATTGACGACGCGTTCCTGCTTCCCAAACGGCTCCTTCAACATTTGAACCGCCCCATCGTAATTTGCATCATCTAGCGGCATGCCCTCTAAAACATCCCTTGCGCTGCCTGTAAGACAACCTTTCAAGTACTGTATAGCAGGAAATTTTCGGACGGAAATATTTTCGGACAAAGCCGAGTTTCGACATTTCGTACGGATTTTATTTTCGTACAGTGGTGCATGCTAAATGCACTTGTTTGCTTGCGGTACGCATGTGTAGTGTACATAACTTCACAGGAACAAATTTTAGTACGGAATTAATTTTAGTACAAAAGAGGGCGTGTACGAAATCGTACGAAAATAAATTCCGTCCGAAAATTTCCTGCTATACAGTAGCTCATCTTTTCTGCCTTGGAGATTTTTGATTTATCCACCGAATGTTGAAAAATTCGCAGAATTCATTCCACTGTAGAATAATGCCATTGAATTTTGGCAACTCGAGTTTCGGTAACCTAACCCCAGTGGAGTCTGGCTGCAGCCCTGAGACATTTTGCTTTATTTAGATCAACCAGTTCCGTGAGTATGTTCTCCAAATTCCGTGTGTGGGTTCCAAATGTGTCATTTGAGTCTTCCCTTTGTTTCCCATGTATTTCATCAAATTGTAGAATTAGGCTCTTGAGAGTAACTGATTATTTTTCCATTTCAGATAGCTGCTTCCATGTCATCAAGTTCTGACTACTCCCTTTGTTTCATATCTTTGCTGTCCAGATTCTTAGGATTGAACGAAAGCAGGGTTTCCGTGTACTTGTCTAGTGCCTCATTAGATCCCTCTAAATGTTGGTCAAATTCCATAATTACCTGCCTCGCTGAGGTAATCGCGGTCTCCGAAATTGCATTGCCGATGGCCTTGTTTAAGTCCACTTCCAGTTCTGCCAGGGTTTTGAAATGGCTCGTCGTGCTCCGTTTCCTGGTTTGTAGCCCA